CTAACATTAAACTGACCCTCCATAAAGCTCTTATTAGATCCGTAATGACTTATGCTAGTCCCGCCTGGGAGTTTGCGGCAGACACTCATCTAGTGAAATTGCAGCGCCTGCAAAACAAGGTTCTCCGCACGATTGGCAATTTTACAAGGCGCACACCAGTCCGTGATTTGCACATGGCATTCAAAATCCCATACGTATATGATTACATAACAAAATTATGCAGGCAACCAGCAGAAGTCATACAAAATCATGATAATGAGAACGTTGGCAACATCGGACAAGGCGAAGCCCGACAGAGCAAGTATAAGAGGCTTAAACTTGGCGGCGGTCAGGCATACGACCGTTCAAGTGACTAGACTGCCGTGGTAGCTAATACTACTAATATATATATATAAGGGCATAATCTGCTGTACCTAGCCTGGACTGGCAGAGGCCGTGTATATATTGTACATTTAAATAAGAAATAAGTGTGTATTGTAAATATGTGTAAATAAAGACAGTGGACTTAGTAATACAGACTGACTAACAAATGACAGACCCGACCTCTCGTCAGAGAGGGCGCTACACATAGACAAGACAGTAACTTTCATTCAAAAGAAATATCTGGTCATGAGCCCCAGCTGGGGCTCGACACCAAGACAGACAGACTGACTGACCGTCAGTTGCAACGTGACTCTGACTCTGAAATGCGTGATAACGTGGGATGATCCCACACCTTAAATGGTTTTCAAGAAATTCTTCAAGATTCTCTGTATTTCAGAAAAAAAAAGTACTTGTCAGAGCATCTCAAATGTACTGATATTTGCTAAACATTCCTGCATATAGAAATGGAAGGAAGTGCAGTGATGTTGCATCCTCTATTTCTGGTATTTTTGACACATTTGCTATGAATTATCAGAATTTTTCATGTGGTGTACCTCTACTGATTAAATACTTCCCCTTTTATAGGAAGGTGTGGATTTAGTCTACATGCCAAATAAACCTGCCAGTATGTGTGTAATGGTTCTGTGGTTCAATTACACTGTTTTTTTTTTTTAATTTTAAAACTCTTTTAACATATGGTTCAAAAAGATGAAAGTAAGCTCAGAAAGCCAACTCAGTCCACTGTCCACCTGTCAAAACCAATACAGTGATCAAATCAAAGTATTACAGTGGACAATTTGTTCTCTTTTGTGAAACTAACAGAAAACTGAAGCATGGATTAACAATGGTATGGACCCATAGTGAAAATTAGAAGTTCCTCTGGAGTGTCAGTCATCTAAAGGGAGCCAGGAAGTGCATTGCATTGGTTTCCAGACAATGAAACTTCATTGTCATGTGTGATTAAAAAGGAACATGACTACTTCTGGGGTCTTCATTTTACCATGCAAAGGGGACGTTACAAAATGTCATAGCCTGAAATACTTGGATTTTAAAATTCCACAAAAACCGGGATCCAGGCATTAGACATTAAAATATGAAAGCATCTACCCTGCAGAAAACTGAAGCCTTTAGTCTTATTTTAAAAAATTGATGACATTTGTCAGGTGATCTGGCACTAGAAAATTTTAATTTTGCAAGAAGTTTATGTTACAGAATGACTGAGCCTCATTTATTGCAGAGCTTGGAGATACCAAGTCTGAGATGTGAGGCATGGAAGGTCACAGGAGACATTCTGGAAGAACCTCAGTATACAGAAGCAACATTGGATGTAATGATACACTACTGGAGAAGAAAATCTGTTTCACATACCCTTGCCAAAAAAATAATGAACATGATATAATTATATCAAATATTTTAATCTGAATGGCATGGACTGTCCAAGAAGTCAATGTAACTGAAACAATGAATGGTTGAGGACCTTCCAAAGCTTGGTCCAAAATATTCTTGCCATATCATTCTGTAATTTTGATTCATTCATATGTTCAGTCATTTCTTTACACAGGACATTTCATTCCAATTCACTGATATTTAATTGCATTTAACACTTCTTACTGGTTGATTTAATTGAATTTTTCATGTACTATTTGGATTGTTTCTATGTTTTGCTCATTTCTGGATGTTATTAAAAAGAAACCTAACTGCAACTTAATATTTAGAGCACAAACAATATATTTGAATGAATAGGAATATCTTCCAAAAACCCTTTCTTTTTTCTATTTGTATCACAATAACCAGGTTTTCTGAAGCAGCTATTACAAAGACCAAAACAACACCGTCTAGTGTGACAATTTAAGTTTTATCACTTGAAGACTCATCACTCTTACGTGTTTCGATCCCTACAGATCATCCTCAGAGGGCATCAATACTTTTTTCAGAAACTACTATTACAATAGATGTTAATTATATACATACACATATAATGTCTGAAATGCACGATGTACACAATGTTCAACCTTTCACATTCACAGCAGCCTTCCTGGTATGAACACTTTTTAAATTTTTTTAAAATCTTTCTTTTCAAACAACACAGCAGGCCATGAATAAACACAGAAATACTAAGAATCTCCTTTCGCAAGATAGACAGGCAGCACAGGATCAGCCACCTCCAAGAATAACAATAGAATTGACACGAAGCTGTATGGTTTATAAATTTTAAGCTTGAACTTGAAAGTTTCTAAAAACTTTAAAAAGTGTTAATACCCAGAAGGCTGCTGTGAATGTGAAAGGTTGAACATTGTGTACATTGTGCATTTCAGACATTATATGCGCATGTACATAATTAACATCTATTGTAATAGTGGTTTCCGAAAAAAGTATTGATGCCCTCTGAGGATGATCCGTAGGGATTGAAACATGTAAGGGTGATGAGTCTTCAAGTGATAAAACTTAAATTGTCACACTAGACGGTTTTTTTTTTCTTTGTAATTGTTAGTGTGATGGACCAGAATGAAACAAATCAGCTATTACACTTTCCTTTCGGAAAGTGTCTCAGAACAGTGTTTCTGATTAAATATAAAAGACAGATAATATCATTTAAGGATCCAGCTCTTACCCTGACATTTCTGCCACCACATGAACTCTCCATGACAAATTCATGCCATATTAATGACCACTCACCAATGAACATAGAAAAAATACAAATGTAAATGTCTTAGCAAAAACTAGCTCACATTTACACTACCTGGCTGATTAGGATTGGAGTATTTAAATAATTACCATCTTTGGAATGTAGTGTGTTCCCATACACAAGAAATTTAATGTTAACAGGTTACCAATTATATATGTGCTCAGTTCTCATTCCTAAACACAAGCTGTGTTCTCCTTAGGTTTAGAATTAAATAAGTCATATCTCTCCATTTAGTCAGTTATTGTACCATGCCATCTGTCAGAGACAAGGTGCTCATGTTTACAATGAATGATAATTGCTGCACAGTTCCCAGTTCCATTTCCTTGCAATGCTACTTCATGTGGGCGCAGGTGATTCACCTGCAGTATTGTTAATTGTTTACATTGGCTAGCAATATCTGCACATGTATACATGTATTTGACATAACATTTTCATGCTTTGTGAAGAAACATGGTATTATGTACGAGCATTACTGAATTTGAAAGCCACTAGGGAATTTAAATATTGTATTTTCCTTCACACTGATTTAACAAATTTCCATGAGTTGTTGAAAAAAAAAAGTGGTAGCATAGTTGGTTGAGGCACATCGAATCCCGATGAGGTGGATTTTTTCAATTGACCTAATCCTTCCAGCCGCACTATGGCCCTGGAGTCGACTCGGCTTCTAACAGAACTGAGTACCAGGAATATTTTTGGGGGTAAAGGGCGGCCGGCACGTGAGGCTGAGAACTTTACCGCCATCTATGAGCCGATTGTCTAGAAAATGTGGGAACCTCAACATCTCGCAATCCTATGGGCCTCCAAGGCCTGTTACAGGAATATCTTTCCTTTTTTTTTTACCATGAGTTGTTACTGATTTCTCATCAAATCTTTTCCCAGTAACTGATATGAACAACATATTTCTAGTGTAACATGGACGTAATCAAAGTGGAGTCTAGTTTATTAGTCAGCTCATACAGAACTAGAAGTGTCTTATAACAATAACATTCTCTACAGTCAAATTAGGATCTGAGGTGAGTGGTGCTGACATGATAAACTACTAAGGCTGATCACAAAAGCAAGTAAATAGGACAGTAACCAGTATTTCAGTATTTACAATTTGATATGTAGCCATACTTTATTTTGAATAACTGTAGACTAGATAAATAAAGCTGAGCAGGAAACAGGGAAGTGTTCATTGCAGGGGGCTTACCCTGCGCATGTTTCATATGGTGTCTGTTCTTGCATGGAAAAAGTGGCAGGTAGTCCTGATATGAAGCGCATTTAAGTATATGTATACTGACAAAGTTTAAGTGTGTTAATTCATAAGAACACTTGCTGGTAGAAAGTGGCATGATACAATATGGAAGAAACTCTTTAATGTGATATTACAGAACTTCCTGAAGAAACATTCTTGAGGAAAGGGTTTTCATGTGGACGAAGACATCTGCAGTTTCAACAGCTATGCCATCAAAAAGTCAGACATCATTGCATATATACTTGTAGTGTTCAGAAGAGCATGTGAGCATGCATAATATACTAACGAAATTTAAATTAATAGGATATATTTAAATCATTAAAAAGAGATCAAAAAGAAAGGAATTATAAAATCATACTTATGAGCTGCTTAACAGTCAGAAGGAAACTACATAGTCTTTATTTCATCAGTTTTGTCATTCCCCTTCATAAATAGACAACAAGATTGTGAACTCTTAAGGACATGTAATTTTTTTATCATTAATTAATAACTCCTGAATGAAGCAAACTTCTACTGATTACATTTATCTCTTGAATTGATGCAAAATAATGATTCAGTATAGTATTAAAAAACACTTCCTACTAAATTTACAAGCATAAACCTAGTCCCAACAGTGGCTAAGAAATTAGCATTACCCAGTCTTCTTAAAAGCAAAACAGCAATCGGCAATGAAGAGGCTGTCAGTAAAATAATAACAGTACTTCATTCTGCTTGCTGATGGTTGTGTGGTAGGATTGTCATTTGATGGAAACTAACTGCTTTCATCGTGGAACTGCAGAAGAAAGGCTGCTGCTATTTCACTGGGTATGTACATAAATGTAAAACATTCACACAGAAAGTAGGGATCTGGCTAAGGTGACAATTTTTCTCTCAAACCAAATACCCTGCATAAATCAGTTTCCTAAGAGTTGTAGTTGTTTAATGGTGAGTCAGCTTCTTTGGTTATTCATATCAATAGCCCACATTTGCGCCTTGAGGTATATTTCAGTTTCCAAAAATGTTTAAATTTTCCTTTCCATTGAAGGGAATGTTACAGAAGGCTCTTCTAGCAGCAACACAAAACTGCAGTGTTACAAAATAAAAGTGCTCAAGTAGTTGGACCATCCTTGCCAATCTACCTCCCAGAAAATGTTTTGTGCACAAAATAGCACACCACATTTGCCCTCTGTAGAGGATCATCATGTTTTTGGAAGATTGCTGTAGGCTGGAGGTTCCTCAAAAGTGGTTCAATGTTAATTTATGACATGTATAACCAAATGCTTCCCTGCATTGCTGACTCTCTAGAAAATAACTATCCAACTGTGTGATCATGTAACAGTTCACACCACACAGTAATCCTTGGCATGTTTGCTCATGTTCAGAAACAGAGAATCATACATAACAGTTATGTCTTATGACTTTCCTGCTGGCATGAAACATCAACTCAGGGAAGAAACGCATGTTTCATAAGAAGTCAGGACCGGCATCTGGCCTCACCAGCCATGTATACATTGTAAAAGCTGTGTCTGCTGTGTTATCTGCTTGCAAGTGATGTGTGAGTTGGAATTTTTGTGTACACAAATGCAAGTGTTAATGGAGAATTTTGTGTACTTTTGATCTTAGACTCGAAGGCTGCCTTGCGATGGTACAAGATTTGCCTGGGCAACGTTCATGTGGTCATTGAATGTGCTCAGCTTCCTCACCTGACACACTTGACCTGTCTGTCCTTGTACATTTCACAGGACATTACCAGTGTCTCTAAAATTGTTATTCCATAAATGCTTCACCTTGTATGCAGTCCCTTGTAATGTGTATGATAATTATATAAACTTGAGTCACAGACTTTGTCTCAAAGATTATGCACTGTGCTTTTCCTTGAGGTGTCAGCAACATCTTTAGTGCTTCCCTGCAAAAAGAAAAAAGTTACTGGATCACTAATACCACCTTTGTGTGTACATTTCAAATTGTTAATTCTTCAGTCATGATCATACAAGGGTAACACAAATATAAAAATAATTATGAAAATATTTGGAATGCTACAAATGTGCTTAAGTTTTAGTCTTAAACACATTTTTTATTGTTTTCTCTCATGCACAAAATGTAGTATTATTGTCTAATGAACAGCGCCAGGGAAAACTGTAAACGTTAGTGAATGCAGTATTTTATCATCCCAAGAAAGTATAACTAACTTGCAAACTCTAGCAATAGAACCCTGAAGTCATCCTATAGAACCCTAAGACATTTCAGTCCAATCCAAATTACCGTAACATATTGCAGTTTCCAAAACCTTTATCATATGGGAACAGGGGGTTCAACTCCTCCTTAACATGGTATTAGTTGCCTGATTTTAATTGGAGAGTTTTAACTAGTTATGGTATTAGTACTGAAAAATGTATCTTTGGAACTATTCATGCTAAAGTATTTTAGTGAGAAGAATCTGAAATAAGATATATGCTTAATTATGTAGTGTTATTTACTGTCATAAAAATCATTGTTTCCAGGGAAATGTATAATTCCTCAAATAAAACAAAATATTGTGTATATAAATCCAAATATGCAGCACTTCTGGGTTGTTCTTCTTTCCACACTGTGACTAAACTCATTCAGAAGTTTAGCTTTGTATCAAGTATAAAAACATCAGCTATTTGTAGACTTCAAGAAAACCTATGATTCAGTTAGGAGGGAAGTATTGTACAATATTCTGATAGTTTGGAATACCCATGAAACTAGTTAAGCTGATTAAAATGTAAGATTTAAGGTTTTCACGGTGGTGACTATGAAGAAATCAGAAGACTGCTTTCTTCATGATTAAAATGTGTTTAAACGAAAGTAGTAAAATAGTAAAGTACGTATAGGTAAATATTTGCCTGACAAATTTTGTATCCAGAATGGTCTAAGACAAGGAGATGCATTATCGTCACTCCTTTTGAACTTTGCTTTAGAATATGCCATTAGGAAGGTCCAGAAAAACCAGGTGGGACTCAAATTAAACCCGACACATCAGCTGTTGGTCTATGCCGAAGATGTGAATCTATTAGTTGATAAAGGCTGCACCATAGCTGAAGCGGTTAGTCGCTGGCTTCCCACCGCGGCGGCCCTGGTTTGATCCCGGGTCTGGTCAAGTGGGATTTGTGGTGGACAATGTAGCGCTGGGGCAGGTTTTCTCCAAGTACTTCACTTTCCCCTGCTAATTTTCATTCCACCAAATACCCCATCATCATAATCACCCAGGGCAGGCTACAATAGGCCAATCAGTGGCCACTGTGCCAAGTGGGCCCAGTTGGACTCCACCCCCCAATAATCAAATTTAAAAAAAATTACTAGGTGATAATATAGATACCATAAAGAAAAACATACAAACTTTAATTGACGCAGGTAAGGAGGTTGCTCTAGAAGTAAACACAGAGAAAACTAAGTATATGTTGCTGTCTCATCGCGGGGCAAAATCATGACATAAAGATAGGAAACAGATGTTTTGAAAATGTGGCACAGTTCAGATATTTGGCAATGGCGATAACAAATCAAAACCTGATAGAGGAGGAAATTAAGAGGAGACTGAACTCAGTTAATGCTTCCTACCATTCAGTCCAGAACCTTTTGTCTTGTCGTCTGCTGTCCAAAAACATAAAAATTTGAATATAAAAAACCATAATTTTTCTGGTGGTTCTGTATGGGTGTGAAACTTGGTCTCTGACATTATGGGAGGAAGTTGGAGAAAACTGCATAATGAGGAGCTTCATAACTTCTACTTTTCCCAAAGTATAATTAGAACGATCAAGTCAAGGAGGTTGAGGTAGGCAGGACATGTAGCACGAATGGGGGAGAAGAGGAATGCATATAGGATATTGGTGAGAAAGTCAGAAGGAAAGAGACCACTGGGAAGACTAAGGCATAGGTGGGTGGACAATATTAAAATGGATCTTAGAGAGAGAGGGTGGGATGGTATGGATTGGATTGATCTGGCTCAGGATAGGGACCAGTTGAGGGCTCTTGTTAACGTGGTAATGATTCTTCAGGTTCCATAAAATGCTGGGAAATTCTTGAGTAGCTGCAGATTTGGTTTCTCCTCAAGAAGGGCTCAGATCCATAATAAAGTAAATCAAGTATAAAAACTATGGTCTATACACAGGGTAACACTGCACTTGGAACACATACATTTGGTAGTCAATTTCTACTTGCCTGAGACACCACAAGTACAATCTTGTAGTTGACCAATGATCAGTTGGTATCTCAAGTATCAAGACAGGTCATTTGACTGGCTATGGATTTGGTCATTCTCTTAAGGTGATTGAAGGACAATGCTCCCTTGCATTCATTTCCAAAAATTTTGAATCAAAATCACATGAAATTTTCATGGGTCCATTTTGTTACAACAGCATGACAGTGTGATGTAACCATGATTCATCTAACAATGCTATAAATATGTATGATCTGTGGTAATCACAGAAGTGGTTATAAAGAGTTCTATCTTCTGACATATAACTCTGTGTAGTCTATTGAAAATCAACTGTCATTTCAGAGGAACCTGCAAAGCAAAGCCTTGCTTGCCACCTGCTTTCATGTTGGTTTCTAGCTTGGCCTATTCTTTGACCTTGAAGATGATATGACATGTTCTTCCAAAACATCAGTTGACTTTTAATGGACTACACAGCATTATATCCCAAATGGCAGAACTCTTCAGTTCTCTAAGTAGTTCAGATTCTATAGCAGATGTGGCAACACTGTGGCTTGTGAGCATGTAGTTCTTCTGAACCTCTAGTATGGATCACAGAAAATAAAACGTTAGTCACTCCCATCCTTACAAATGTATTAAATATAAAGAAAGCAGTCTTCTGGGATTTGGCACCGTGTATATGTGGTGTTAACCGACGTTTCGGAGGAACGTATCGCCTCCATCTTCAGGGTAGAAGGAAAAATATAAGAAATCCGCAAGTGAAGAGACTGTGAGAACTGGTAAAACTGCATTTTCTCTTCGGTGCGGATTTCTTACATTTTTCCTTCTACCCTGAAGATGGAGGCGATACGTTCCTCCGAAACGTCGGTTAACACCACATATACACGGTGCCAAATCCCAGAAGACTGCTTTCTTCATAGTCACCGCCGTGAAAGCCTCAAATCTTACGTGGATTAAATATAGTCCACTGCATGGAATGAATGTACTTAACACTGCCATCAATCTATTATGTCTGTGGCGAAGTTTCAATTTTCTTCAGCTGTATGCTCCACGTCTTTCTCAAATCATCATTGTATGTATGTTGAAAGATGAAGGAAATGCATACCAGAGGATATTTGATAGCAGGGAGCTTTGTGAAATATGCATGTAATACTCAGTTTTGTTAGATTGGTAAAATAAGGTTATATTTTCGGCTGGACATGTAACTTGTATAAAAATAAGAAATTCACATATATTTTTGGTGGAGAGATCAGCCACCTGAAGATAAAAGGATCAGAGGGATTTGGTTGATCTTAAAGAAACAGAAGAAATCTAGGAACAGCAAACTGTTTCGCTGCCTGGCACCATGCTAACACCAATAGTTAACCAAAAATAAGTGATGCCAGACAATGTCATTCTGCCAGTACTGACCTGGTGGAACTTTTTTGGGATTTCTATTGCTGCTCCCACAATTCTTCAGTTTTTGGCTTTCTTGTTATAGCTGCATTAAAAGAGCCAATACCACTTATGTCATTTTTAAGTCTGAGACAGCTCTGTAAATCTGATTTTATATATATCTCAAGCATGAAAATAACTGGTATGAAACAGAAAATATGTTTTCTCGTTATTTTTCTGTGTAACCACACTTTTGGGATTTGGGGTATAAAGCAATGGCAGAAATGAATTCAACACAAAAACCATGGCATAGAGAATTACTGAATTAAGAAGTGGTTTGAGATATTAATACAGACAAACTTGTAGTCACTAGAGCCAATGGTTTACCATCCCTGTTATGGGGAGAAGCACAGTTATATCCCCAGCAATAAATTAAAACTGCAGAACTCGGGAAAAGTGAAAATGCATTACTATAACCCATTCCTCTACATACTTAAGTCTGGCCATACAACTTTCTTAACCTGTCCTTTACGAACTGCTGAATAGACAAGCATCAGTGTCTCATCATGTCTCCCATCTCAATATTCTACATATTGTAAAAGTTTTGCTTTAAAGAATTCAATTTACTTTCACTGAAATTGATTTCCTAGTCATTGCTACCTACAGATAGGAAGCAAATGAGCAGAGCTGCCAAACAACAATGGTACACCAACTTATTTTGTGCCTTGTAGTACAGGAATAGCAGACATCACAGAATGAAATCAGAACTCATTGAAACTACTGCAAGATTTACTGTACTTCCTGCAATATTTTAGATAGTACAATGGATCACTATTGTAATTCTGCATTAATTCAGGATTATGGAAAGTAATATAAACCACTTATGATACAACAGACTTTATGGTCTGTATTCTTACACTTTAAAAAGCATACTGTAATTACACATTAGTAGTGTGTTATAAAATAGTTTTGTTATATGCTTAATGAGATTCCTAATGCACCTTTGTAACTACACTGAAAATACATTTTGTATCAACATGTCAAAGCAATTTTACACCTACCAATTATCAATTAATCAAATGTATTATGACACAGTTTCCATGTATACATAAGCAAAGGTGCAGAATCAAGTGCCATGGCAAGAATGGAACATGATACTTTTTAAGGAGCCATCTTCTCCACTGTCCCTTGAATATATTTAGAACAGGTGTAACAATATAAAGAGCATGTATGTGTATCTCTCACACCTAGCTGTTATACATGGCAGATGAAATATTTCAATATGAACTTACAGATATAAATGTGAGAAAAGTGTGCATTTTAATATGATTACATGTCTCTCCATGTTCATAAGCTGTCCTTACATGAAAAATATATATTATTACAGTATCTGCAATCATTCCCTTACACTGCTTTGTCAGCATAAATATTGATTTTCATGCTTTGGGGATACATGGAGGGAAAGTATCATCCTCTAACAAAGAGAAGGCAATTATTTACACAAAACAAGCAAGCTTAAAACAGCAGCACAATTTTCACATATTAATAATTAATGTGTTTTCTGCAGATCTATGTACATAGATATAGAATCTGTCATTTATACTAGATAACAAAATAATAATAATAATAATGATATTTAATCATACAACGTAAATCCGACTGGATATCACGAAGTATAAATCATACATATGTGTCTATGATAGGCCACATATAACATAGGACTCTTTACAGTTGCACTAAACTTCAGTGTCCCTAAAAGAACATAAGAATGGTCAATTCTACCTAGTATATAATTTGCCTTCTCTCTGTTGGGAGCTGCATATTCTGAACTTTCATTATGATCCTCCAACTATGGGTGAGTGATGAACTACACCAATGGCTCAAAATGGAAAGTACTTGAGCATCTACTTCCAACTAAGGGTGAGTGATGAACTACTAAGGCTCAAAATGGAAAGTACTTGAACATCTACTTCTACAGTTTACCTTGGGGGGGGGGGGGGTAAGGGAAATATTCACATGACTAAGATTGTATTTAAGATCACAGAAGTGATGCCACATATTTACAAGGTATTGATAGATTACTGAATATAAAATTTAACCCCCCAAATATTCATAATTTTGTGGTATAAAATCAATGTTATAATCTGCAAAATGCCTGAAAATAGCTTTATTCTGCACTCAATGACAGTGGAATTCTAGAAATTAATCACTTGCAACGTCTATAATCACCCACCAACTGAAGAAATGTCTTTACTCTTCACCTTTGTCATCTTCATCATGAGTAGAACTGTGCCAAGTGAGGCGTTCCTCATAAAATTGGATGACAATCTGGGGGCAAGTAACGTTTGCCTTCTTTGCTGGAACCAAATCTGCTTCGTCAGTCCCTTTCCATTTCATTAGGAACATAAGCTCCCCGCTTGAGTCTGTAGCTCCTATAATGCGTTCCGGCTCCAAACCCCTATCAAAACCTTGTGGTTTCTTGTCTTCGTCGTTTTGTTTCTTCTTGGCTGGCTTTTTATCTTCGGTCGGAGTACTTGGCTTCCTCTTCTTTTCGTCCTTCTTCGCTTGCTCTTTCTTCTTCCTATTTTCTTCGAATTTTGAAATGAGATCTGGGCAGTCCAAGTTTTCCTCGGGTTCCCAAGTGTTGTCGTCGTTCGAATATCCTTTCCATTTCAAAAAGTACTCTACTTTGCCGTTTCTCACACGACGATCAAGTACCTTCTCGACAGAAAATTCTTCTTCGCCTTCTGCAGAGGTTGGAGTGGATTTTTCCGTCTTCTTACTCATATCTATGCGAGACTCAACCAGATGGAATTCCGCAGACTACAATTTGAACTTTGATACCTCACTAAGAGAAAATACCACTTTTCTTTGCAGAGCACTATAATTTTCTAGCTTTTTGAGCTTCTTGAGGTTCTTCACACTTTCGTACATTCACTAACTGCATAAACCGCACAAACCATTACGTATCGATTTCATCCAGTAGCGTCCCGTAACATCCCTGTCCATGTGAATTAATTATATCGACCTATCGAAGACAATCGCAACGTTATTATGTATTAGCGCACAATGTTTTTTGTATTATTTTTGGCAGTAACAGAGCATAGTTCTAGTAGTAATATGATAATTTTCTGTTATTTGTTATTTAGTATATGCCAGAATTTATAAAAATAATGTGTATTAATAGGTGTGCGTAAAGTATGACTAATGATGTCTGAATATAATGTTTATTTTTTTACGTAACTTCGCTGGCTCTCAAGACATAGCGTAAAATTGCGGTGCAGTTAATAATGTGTACGAAATTTAATCTGTAGTGGTAGTTTGTGGATGGTAAGTGTTTTGTAACTATTGCCTTTCAAAATATGATATATTGTACATTGAGTTGTCCCTGCCGTTTAGGCTCTATGGGAAGCAGCTATTTATCTGCCTGTTGCAGTCGGTTTTGTTGTCTTGAGAGGTTAAATCTTAACATATACCCAATAAGCTGACTTCTAAGGACAAAATCAGATTAAAGGAGCGAGTGTTTCATAAAAAAAAATTGAATTATATATTGCATTGGTGTAAGGACCAGTATGCAGAATACTGTGCTATAGAACGGGAACCTAAATCCTCCAACATGTAGTTTTCAGATGTGTACACAGCACCCACATACTATTTTGAACAGCCCTTAAACGCGGTACCATAGTTGGTTGAGACACTATCCTAAAAGCTGCCCCGAATTACTTTAATCAATTCAGTCTCTGTTATTTCTAATAGGACAAGTGAATATATTGTTATTACTAGTTTGTGGATGTAATAATTTTTTGTCAAGTATAAGTTTATTTACAGTTTCTATGAAGGTTTTGTTAAATATGTTGCATGTTCTACTCGGACTTGAGACTATTTCATTTCCATCTTGTAAGTGTATATTACTAGTGAGAGTATTTTTTGGTAAGCCTCTTTCTCTATTAACAAATTCCCATAATATTTTTGGTTATAATGTTCTGAATGTAGTTTGCTTTTGCATTTTTTAATATTACATTATATTCCTTTTTATATGCTTTATAGATATCCCTATGTTCCTGAGTCTTACTTTGCATATAAAGGTTGTGCAAATCCTTTAGTTTTGTTCTTGCTATTACATCATCTTTTTTATCCAGGGGCTTTTTGACATACTTATGGCATTTCTCCTTATTTTGGGACAGGCTATATTAAAAAATTAGTTAAAAATGCTATAAAAAGAGTCCCATTTTTTTCTACCTCATTTTCTCTGGACACTTCAATCCAGTTTTCAGTTTGTGTTAATGAGCATAGACCTATTATATTGGCTTCTGATATATTCCTGACCTCTATGTAACATCTTGTTTGTTGTGGTGCACACATATTAATAGTTATACATTGTGCAAAATGATCTGAATGTAGGCTATTTATTACTTCAGTATGATAGTATTTAGCCGGTACATTAGTTATGATTTGGTCTGAAGTTGTAGCCGTACTTTCAGATACTGGTGTAGGTGTATTTATTGTCACAGTCAGATTATAATCTTTTGTAACATCTAATAATTTTTTGTGACTATTTCCACCTTCTTGGATGTTTATGTCTCCTACTAAAATGATATATTGATCTTTCTGAATTAGTTTCTCCAGAATATCTATTAGATGGATAAGAAATTCATTTATTCCACCACTTGGTGATGTATATAATGCAATGATTGTTATTTTTTTCTTCTCACATGTTAGTTCTGTACCAGTAACTTCAAAAGTTTTTCTATAACCCATTTCAGAGGTTTATGTTGTATGTTCCTAGAACTGTAAATAGCTATCCCACCCCCTTTTTGATCTTTTCTGGTAAAGTGTGAGGCTACAGTATATCCTTCTAATATACATTGAGTAATTTCATCATCTGTAAGGCCATGTTCAGAAATTGCCAATATATCTGGAGTGGTACTTTGAAGGAACACTGTGAATAGTTCAGTCTTATTGCTGAGATATTGTGCATTTTGATGTATTATTTTGAGTTTTTGTCTTGAATTGGTTTCTGTACTTTGTAATGACTGGAGCCTTATGGATCCAGGCTCCTTTATTAGTTTCCCTAGTTTGAGTTGCTCAAAGCTATTATATTTAAGTAATTTCTTTTGTTTTGCCTATTATTTTACTTATTTCTTGAGATATATGCTCTTTGCTTATTTTGTCCTTGCCTTGTATGACAGGCTCTGCTTATGTTACTTATGTCTAGTACTTTTACATTGCTGGATCTTTTACATACCTTGTTTATTTCCATATTTGCTTTGCTTATTTCCTTATTTACTATTGATTCTTTTATTAAATCATGCCTAGTTGGTATATTGAAAATCACAACATTTGTAGCGGTCAGTGCAGAAAGTACCATCATTATCCAGGCAGAGCTGATAACACGGAACAGTGGAATCACAAACTATACGAAGCATTTCATTTGGAATTTGATGACATTGTCTTTTAATTTCCTCTGTCAACTCGTGGACTGTTGCTGGTTTTGCAGCATAAACCTTATCTTTGAGGTATCCCCATAAAAAGAAGTCCATGGGTGTGAGGTCCGGTGAACGCGCAGGGTATTCAACGCTACCTCTTCACTCAATCCGTCTGGCAAGGCTGCATCGAGATAGGCCCTTACTTCACGATGGTAGTGGGGAGGTGCTCCATCTTGTTGGAAGTAAATCTCTGCATCACCAAACATCTCTTCAATGCGTGGCCCAACACCCGAGTGAGTACATTTTTTTTGGAACACTGTATATATATATATATATATAATGTGACACATTATCTTACGTCCATCACCGCGACAACTGCTACAATTGGAACGGACACTTCCACGACAACGAATATGTGGAAATTGTTGAGTTCCCACAGCGACAAATCATAGCAATCTATAAGGAACATTCCAGAAGCAACGAATCGCCGAACACGTGAGATCGAACCTTCGCAAGGGGTGTCCTCTATTGAGTCCGCGTGCGCCTTATATAAAGGGCCTGGCCTCAAGCGGAAATGGAGTATGGTATATTGAGTATTAGAATATGGAGTATTGAGTACTGAGTGTTGGGCCAGAAGTCAAGTGATATTGCAAGTAATAATAAGTGTATTGTGTGTAAGTGTGTGTCCAATAAAGATTCGCTAAATCCGAGACCCACGTGAAGTTATTTGTCACATGACATACCCAAACCATGATAATATATATATAGGTTTGTTTCCTGATTAGGTCATTGGATTTTTCAATTGACCTAATCTTTCCAGCTGCACAATGGCCCTTGGGTCGACTCAGCCTCTAACAGAAATGAGTACCAGGAACCTTCCTGGGGCTAAAGGGCAGCTGGCACATAAGGCTGACAACCTCACCGCCATCTGTGAGCCAATTGTCTGGAAAATATCAGAGCCTTGATACATCTCACAACCCTATGGGCCTCCAGTAATTTAGAATCACTATGTATATGTACACACATACATACACAGGGAAATCCTAAAGTGTAACTAATTTTGTAATTAAAAGAGTAAAATAATTTGCCTCGCATATATTGGCCACTAGTGGCCATCATCAGGAGGCAGACAGGCATTATGAAGGAAGTGCTCTACATGTTTTATTGATCTTAACTATTATTATAAAATCATTTAAGGGACTTCTGATAGGTATGACTACTGAAATTCGGTAAAACCTCTTAAAAGCTTATGTTAAGTTGACAGAAGATGAACATAGAGATGGTCTTCATAATGATGGCTGCTGCTTGTTTTGACCATGTGTGTCTGCAAATATAATATAGTTTTTTTTCTATTACGCCGTGGTGACAGGGGGGGCGTGTAGGTATCCCTCCACTGCCACCACATCTTATGCTGTAAGGGGTTAACACAATAATACTAGATTACCCTCGGCTAGGATTCTCCTGGTTCTGGACCTTTGTTGCATACAGCTGCCACCATCTATTATATCTTAAGAGGGTTGATGAGAATACTAAGGGCCGGTATCGCGGTAGTCGAGCGCTCTCTATTGGCTGGCCCCTCCATCACTGTCACCACTTTGTAATGGCGTAGAGCGGGCGTGTCAGGGCTGACCCGCCTCTACCCATCGACTGTCACACCAATTATTATGTCTTAGTGACGGGTGGGTTAAATACAACTACTATTTCACTTTTTCGGCCATTTCTCTTTGGATAGTCCCTTCACTACGTCAGTCAACTCTTCGTTGACTCGGCCCACCGCCATTGCCATAAGTAATGCTTCGATGGCAGGGGTGAGTAAAACACAATTGCTAATTCTCTCTGTCAGCCACCACTCGTTGGCCAATCCCCCACTTCTGCCATCACTTTGTTATGCCTGAAGAGGGCTAATGAACTGATACTAAATTACTCTTCCCTTGTTCCATCAGGAACGCATCCCCTTGTCTCTACTACTAATCCCTCACCCTTAACAGGGATTCTCATAACCCTTACTGCTAGTTGCATCCGGCTGCCATTGGCTGCCTGGGTCAGTTCTGCCTTTGCTTGGGCCAGGATCGCTTTGGATCGGTCGTGGACGGGTTGGTTCGGGGAAGTAAATCACAATCCTGGTACATCCTACTCTAATCACACTGTCTGTTTACACTATTATTTACAATAGAAGAATGCCGACGTCTGTCGATTTACACATGGTATCAGGGCATGATAGTTCTGACTTCATTCTAGTCTCTCACCTAGAGCAGAGGGCTTGAGGCTGTCACTTTCTTCATTACTATTACTCGACACACCATCTCTGTCCTACCCTAGGTCACTGATCTATTTACACTTTAATTTGTATTCTGTTAACAATATTAACAATGCCTACTCTCAGTCGGAACTACATAGTGTTTTTACATTACTGCGCTATGACCTCTGTCCGGTCTCCCCTTCTGGGGTGTAGGACTTGAGTCTGTCTCTGTCTCTGTCTCTCTCTCTCTCTCTTCCCTACTACTCATTACACAATTCTACACTATTCCATCATAATGCTTCACCCTTAAAATTCCCTACTCCTAAACTATAAATACTAGAAAAACCCAAGTATGTTGGTCTCAAAATCCATAGTCACAACTATGATCATACACACAATATAACGACAACCATGTTTACCACACTAACAACCTTGCCTGTTACTTGTTACATGATTTCTATTATTCTACTCTAAGGGCTCGCCGGGCACGCTGGATTCTGCTTTCAACGTTTTACAAACAACAGTTTACCAACAACCACAAAGTTTTAACAACATGGCTAGTATGAGCAAACATGACTTACTTGCGATAGAGACTACCACTTGTAGTATCCATGTCAGACAGAGCCTCCGGCTAACAGCTGGATATTACGTTTTAAATCGATCCCTGAGTGAGTTTTTTCCCTCATTTTTATATTATTAAAATCACTGATGGCGCAGCTAACAGAGAGGGAGGTTAACTCCTCCCTTCGTCCTCAATTTCTAAAGCGGTAATTTCTAATTGGCTAAATCCGACTCGTCGCGGACAATCCGCAGCGCCTCCCTCTTTGCATTTTGTAATTTCGTGATCTCCAGTTGTTTCCAAATGCCACTTACAAAGTGGAGCGATTGTGTGTCTTCACTGACTACGGTGTTTGTTGACCGCGTTCCAGAGCCTATGTGTGGCCATCACTGCTCTAATTACAGTGAGATGCTCTCATAATGTTTAGGCAATAATTTTGATTTCCAGTCTCAAAATTTGCGGCATAACATTTTCATATTTATATCTTCATGTGGGAGCAGCTGATTTTTGCTGTGTGTACAGAAATTACAAGCTACATGTACACAAAACCTAATACAGTGGCTTGCAAAACTCGGTACAAATGAAAAGCAAAGATATTTGAAGTCCATGGTTAGTGAGGGATTGCTGTGTATTGTAATGTATACTATGTGTATTCCACTACATTGCATTTTAATAATGTATACTAAACTCTGTTATACTAATCTACATTATATACTTTTAAGGACTTCCCTTATACCATAATATCACAAATTAAGCATGCTAAGCACAGTATAACTGAATTTACATATGGCCCTTCACAAAAGACAAAGCTTATATTAACACTAATGAGTTTTAGGGGTGCCTAGACTGGTGAACCTCCTCAGAAGATATGACTAGCCCAGAGACACATGAGAATTAAGTAAGTATTAAATAGATTGTTTTAGAAATTATGTTATGAAAGAGTTGAGCCGTTCAACCACAGAAGTTACATTTAAAGTATGAAGCATGTTTTAAATGCACTTGAGACTTTGCAGTTACTGAACAAAATCTTTGAAGGTTGAAGAGAATATTTTAAAGGCAGTCATAGGACATGCATATTTAAATTTTATTTTCTGTATACAGCTTTAAAATGTACCTTGCTGACTGGTCATCAGACAGAAATATGTGATATTATAATTACTTCAAAAGTCATGGCAACTAATTTTTTTTGGGCCAAACACATTACAGTGAAGAAAGTTCAAAATATACTTATGAAAGGGCATGATATACACCTCCAATTGGCTTAGTCAGATCAGGTAGATGTGAAGGGCATAGGTATAGTAGGCAAGAAAAATTGCACATTACAGAATGACTGTTTTTTGCATTCTTTAATCCCCAAAAAATTCAGTTGTGATTAAGAAATAAAAAATTCAATGTTTCATGTTTTTTCGATGGAAATTATCCGATTCAAGAAATTGTCTCCTTCAATTTCATAATTTTCGAGGTTCACACAACTTGCTTCATAACGTGTCCACTTTTGAACCTCGTTTAATTCATGTGGCACCCACTTCGCTGCAATCTTGTGCGTGTGTAGGTCTTTTCATAAAATTTGATGCACCGTTGCCTGGTCAATCCCTGTATGTCTCTCTAACTCCTTCAGAGACCAGCGCCTATCTTCCTCCATGCACTGGGCGATCACGGCACGAGAAACATCAGTACGAACGGACACAGGGCGTCCACTACATTGCAAGTCGTCACTTGCTTCTCTTCCACGTTGGAATGCTTCTATCCACCTTGCATCAGTTCTGTATGGTAGAACACAATCACCCAGAGCTTCCATAAGCTCTGAGTGACATTCAGTTGCATTTCTGCTGCGAAGCACTGCTATTTTCACGTAACAACGCTGTTCCAGCCGGCTAACGTTCATTTTCAACGAAGGTTATGACCACACTGACTTCGCACTGGACTCAGTTTGTTGTCCTTGGACTTACGCATCATCTAGTAGCATCATTAGAAATCAGACGTTGCTGTCTCTCAGCGACAAATTTGGAAATTCCAGTCAGAACTTTCGAAATTTTGAAAAAATTATGATGCCATGACTTTTGAAGTAATCCACATATTTAACCTTTAACGTATGAACTTTTAACTTGCCGGGAGCCCTCTCCAGCAAGAATTTAAATGGCCATAATTTTTTAACATTGCAGAATTTCAAAGAAAAAAATACAAATTTTCAGTTTTATGCAACATAGAAATACGAACTAAAAACTAATGGACTAGTTATGATAAAACAGAAAAATTAGATTCTAATTTTGCACTTCAGGGCATTCATTATCTGCTGAATAATTCTTTAACACCCCACAGCCATTTATAACTCTCCAGAATTCACACAGTGCTATCAGTAGTTTATTTTAAACTGAATTTCAGATATAAAAACAGTGAGTGCTGTGAAATTGTTTTTACACATGCTGAACACAGTTTTCATGACACATCTGTTCAATCTTACAACCTGATAAGCAAGAGCATGGTGGTAGAACAGCTGTTCCACATTCAAGGGGATGTGAGTTCAATTCCAAGCATAGGTATTTGAATCTTTTCAATTATACTGTACATTACACCATTCATTGCAAATCTAACTAACTAACTTCGTGGAGCTGAGCCTTTCCCAGCTTTTTATGGACACTGAAGGTTCATTACTGTGTTCTCAAGAGCCCTGCCTCCACATTTGACATATACATTACTGTTTGGTATTTTGTGGATATAGATGAGTAGGATTGTATCATTCATGTAACATATATGACAAAGGAAGCAGTATGTAGATTCAGCAAGTAACAACAGTGGAAGTGAGTGCCAGTTACCTTTATCCTCTCATTAATGTAATTATAGGCCAAGTTCATACATAAGGTATACCCACACAATTTTTAATTATTCCCACAGAATGATATTTATATAATTTGATTTTCTGGCAAAATGAAATTCTTTAGTAGCTTGGGTAAGAGAAACAATCACACTAGGTTATTTTATATGAATATAACATTAAGACTGTTGTGTTGTGGGTAGTTACACCTTGTAGTCTTGGTAAATGACTGCCAGCATTTTGCAGGAATACGTTACCTACATCTTATGGCCACGCCATAGCTCAAGTGGTTAGTCGCTGGCTTCCCACCGCGGTGGCCCGGGTTCGATCCCGGTTCTGGTCAAGTGGGATTTGTGGTGGACAAAGTGGCACTGGGTTGAGGGGGTGTTCTATGAGTACTTTGGTTTTCCCTGCCAGTCTTAATTCCACCAAATTCTCCATCATCATAATCACCCAGGGTAGGTACAATAGGCCAATCAGTGGCCGCTGTGCCAAGTGGACCCAGCTGGACTCCACCCCAACTAAGAGAAATACCTACATCTTTGTGGGGAACCTTAGATCCTTTATATCTCGACATTTGTGTAAAAGATTTGAGCTGTTGATTGCATTGTTTCAATTTTCCTTAGGCATATTAACTTAATATTTTAGCAATATGTATGTACCAAGTATTTGGTATATTATAGTTTGATATTAGAGAAGAGTTCCTTTCCCATTTTCACTTATTTACTTTCACTTACAGACACTACATAAAAACTGTTTAATTATGTGGGAAATTATTTTTATGTTTGTTATACTGGTTGACCAAGCCGGTTGGTAGGATTAAGTCTATACCACTTGTAATTACAGTTATTATATTCTTGAAAAATTGTGGTTTATGTAGGTTATAATGCACAGACTTATGGAAAAAAGAAGAGGAGTCATTTGAGTAATTCTGACAATATTAGAACAGTGTTTGTAAATATTGACATAGTCAGGAGGTAAACTATTTGAATGGGAACAAGAGTCACATTTTTGTCTGCTGGTGTGTTGTAGGCTACGTTGTGTTACTGGAATTGCTGATTTTTTTAGTGTGTGCTGATCAACTGATTTAAATTAAATGAGATTTTTAATTTCAGGTGTAAGCAGTATGTCTAGAGAAGACCATCATCAGGAAGAATATCAGCAACTCTTACATTCACTGAAGGGGACAGTTGAAGGACTTTTAATAAGTCAGGTCTCAAATGTGTGGAACGTATATGGTGGCTTAAATAGACTGCATAATGCAATGGAGAAGATATTTAAACATGGATGTAGGGTTTTCAATCATGATGTAAGATTTTATATTATTGGCTTCTTTTGTGAAAAAAAGACACTTCAAAGCATGAGAGTGACCGTGAGTGTAGCCTGCTTCCCAAATACCATCTCAATCTGTGAAGGAAATATATTTATTAGCAGAACTGATTTATATTACATTTACAGGGGAACAAAACTAATATGTTACAAATTCTTTCCTCCCCCCAGTCAAAATCCAACCAAACAGATGGCTGAAGCTTCTGTTCATTGATGTTGACTCGCCTATTACCGTAGTAATGACAGCACTGCAATGCCGCCACATACCGCTGGGGAGGGAGGGGTGTCCTCTGTTGTTCAACATGTCACAATATACTAAACTATCATTTTGCCTGTGATTCTGTATTTTTGTGAAACTTGTTCTTTGACATTAAGGGAGAAAGATAGACTGAGGATGTTTGAGAACAGGGTACTGAGGAGAATATTTGGACTGAAGAGAGATGAACTGATGGGAGGTTGGAGAATATTGCATAATGAGGAGCTTCATAACTTGTACTCTTTGTCAAGTATAATTAGAATGATCAAGGGAAACTTGAAGGAAAGAGACTACTGGGAAGACCAAGACATAGGTGGGTGAATAATATTGTCATGTGTCAAGGGTATGCATGATGAAAATAATGGGTTTGGATGATTGGATTTATTAGCACTTGAGCTACAATTTCTCGTAATTACAATCAATACAGTGCTGTCGCTGATATACACACATTCCATTTCACCATTGCACATGTACTGGGATTTTCTGTATCCACTTGTCTCCTAGCAGTGGATCTCAACACATAAACTAACACTTCATATCACTATGATGTGTTCGTGCCATTTCTTGTTCACTCACTCTGGAACCTCAAAACTCAACTGAAAACTCCTCTGGACTCTTTATTCAGCTAATCTTCACAAATCACTAAGGACATGCTCCATTCTCGGCCTTGTACTCTCAAGTGTTCATGCTGTATGAAGTTGCCATGATCACACCGTGTGAAGTTAAATCTGTAAAAACCACTCTGTCCAACAGACATTTCCTTGAAATCACTAAATGCCTCTAAGCCTGGAACTAGCTACCCTGACTGCAAATGACCTTTGTTGTCCCCTATAAACCTTTGGTGCGGACCTACAGAGAACATGTCACGCGGTCTCTATCCACTGTTGTGTGTTATCACTAGGACCCGGATCTTTATACGCTAAAAGGGGGGAAGATATGCACCAAAAATAAAACCGTATGCACTTAAGAAACAGGTCGCTTTATTCAGACTCACCTATTTACATGTATCATTCACTGCAGAAAGTAGCGTCACAATAGGCAACTAGAAGTCTCTCAATGCATTCTGGAGACAAACTGGATCTATTGTCCATCAAAATGAGTTTATAGGCTGAGAATGATCTTTCTACATCAACTGACGTGATTGGACAGTATTTATACACTGGCGCCGAAGGTTCGGAACATTCATCTGGCAAAGTTACCCTAATTCCACTCAAGTACTAATTGACTGAATCTTTTTTAGACCTGGGTTCGAATTCAACACCATTTCTAACTTGCATGTAATGTTCTCTCCAATTTCGCCTGGAGCAGAATTCATTGAACAAGTTGCTTTCTGAACGTGTTCAAGTGAGTCGTGAAGGAGTGCACCACAGGATTCTAAGCTCTTAATGAAACTGTAGAAAAATGTGCATGGATAAAATTCACATCTTGATAAACAGTATCACTTCCAAACACAACTTTTGCTTCATGGACACACGCATACTCAACCTCAAGTATTGTAACCACCTCTTTTACTTGATTGAAATTCTCCTGATAAAATGAAACTGCCAATAACCATGTCCCCCACCTAGTCAGGGCAGGTTCAGGTGGCAGAGGAACCTGAGGTAGGCAATCTTTGTAGAACTGGACATGAGCTGGTGCTTTCAGAAAAAAATTTTTCCCACTAGCAATTAAATCGTTAACAACTGGAAACTGTGGGCGTATTATTTCTGCAATACAGTGTAATCCACGTGCTAAACAGGTTACGTGTATAAGATTTGGATAAAATACTTGTAAGGCTTTTGCTGCTTTCAAAATATAGGAAGCTCCATCTATGAGTAACACAAGCACCTTACAACAATTATTCTCAACTTCAGACGCCCATAGTAGTCACAGAGAATCATTTACAAATCTTGCTATTTTGCTGTGGTTGGTTTTCTCTCCTACTTTGCAAACAAGAAGATGAGTCCCATATGTAATAATATAAATGCCGTCGTGAATGCAACAATTTATTGGTTGTAGTTCTTTGTCTTTTCTTCCTCTACACTACATGTTTCAGCCCCAAACAGCCATCATAAGGTGTATTTTTCGTTACGTAGCTGTCACACTGCACACAATCCAAAATCTAAAACACCATCCTGTTCAGTTTTGTTTAACATCTCGCCAACATACGCTCGTCAATTTGATTTTAGAATTCCAATTTAAAATTTAAAATTGGAATTCTAAAATGCAGTGTGTGCATTGTGACAGCTACATAGTGAAAAATACACCTGATGATGGCCAATTACGGCCGAAACGTGTAGTGTAGAGGAAGAAAAGACAAAGAACTACAACCAAATAAATTGTTGCCTTCACGACGGCATTTGTATTATTACATGCATGTATCGAAGTGTATAGTGCAACAGAATGCTTAAATATAAATATAATAAGAAGATGAGGTTTGCCGGGTTCATCTGGATGTAGCTTACCAACTACAAAATTTGCTATGAATCGTCCACATAAATCAGTTCTCTCATCCACTGATATCCAGACACAGTTCCCTCCGACGTCAGAATGGATTGACCGCATAGTAGATTCACACAGCAAAGGTAGATAATTTTTTCTAAGAGTTGATTCATCTGGGATTTTTTGAAGTACACAATATTTCTCCAGAAATGATCGCAGAACTGGATTGCTTACTTTATTCCATGGAATGTTGCTGCATACTAAAGCCTTACAAAGATCGGCTGAAACTGTATTAACAGAGGACTTGGGTTTGACCTTTGTAAGTAGTAGTAGTTGTGGTATGCTGTTCTTCTTCCCCTTCTTTGCCGTAATATGTGCAGTCATTCATGAGTGTTGTTTAAGTTGAAATTTCTTTTCACATTTTACTTCCTTTGCGCAACACCGTCTGTCACATAATCACTATTACCCAACACCCACCGATTTTTTAAGTATCTACTGCTGCACATTTCTTTAGGCATTTTCAGCACAGGAGCACACATTAACTCAAGAGACTTCTCTCAAGACCAACCCTCTGATACTACTGTCTGCTGTGGTGGTCAAAGGAATACAGGAAAATCCCACCCCCTCCCTTTCAAAATAGCCAAGCTACCTGCTTGTATTGTAAGTGGTGAGTGCTGTTTCGCTTAGTGGGGGGTGGAGTCCAACTGGGTCCACTCGGCACGGCAGCCACTGATTGGCCTATTGTAGCCTGCCCTGGGTGATTATGATGATGGAGAGTTTGTTGGAATGAAGATTGGCAGGGGAAACCGAAGTACTCAGAGAAAACCCACCCCAGTGCCACTTTGTCCACACAAATCCCACTTGACCAGACCTGGGATTGGACCTGGCCCGCTGAGATGGGAAAAGTGCCATTACTCAAAAAGTTAAGAATAGCAACTGGCAAGGGATGTCCAAAACACAAGCAAAACCGATTTTGTTAGAGAATATTGAAATTATCCTTAATTTCAAACATATATTCAGAAATATGCTGTTACATTTAGAATATTAAATAATGACTAAAACCCTCAAAATATGCATTTGCATATGCGCATATGCATTTTCAAAAAATCCAGGCCCTCGTCATCACTGCGTACGCGGAAGTGTGTTTACTGCTTTGTTGCCTAGCAACAGACGTCCTATTGTTCCGCATGTTTGCGCCCTTGGGAACATGTTTAACACCCCTTTGTCTAGCAATGAGTGTACATGTAACAATATCGCACAGTATTAAAATGGGTCTCAGATAGGATGGAGTGGTATGGAATGGATTGACCTGGCTCGGGATAGGGACCAGTGGAGGGTTCTTTTGATCATGGTAATGAACCTTTGAGTTTCATAAGTTCTCAAGTAACTGCACAACAGGTGGCTTCTCAAAAATGACTCGGCTCCATGAAGTTAGTTTGGTAAAATAGGCCAGAAGTGGCCGCAGTACAAGGGACTGAGTCCCACCCCACTAGCAATAGTTAGTTAGTTAATAGTATTTAATTGTTATTATTTTCCAAATTCAGCCAGTCACAGTAGCTGTGTGTTCTAAGGCATGGACTGTCTTTGCTTGTTCAGATGCTGGGATCGCGGGTTCGAATCCCTCTTAAGGCATGGATGTTTCTTGTGTGTATGCATTTATTCTGTGTTTAGATAGAGGCCTTGAAACGAACTGATCACTCATCCAAGGAGTTCTACCATCTATAGAAAATGATTACGGAACTGAATAAGAGGCCAGGGCCCTGAATGGGCTGGAAGAGCCACTGAAAAAAAATTCCAAATTCATGACATGATAATAGAAAATATAAGGAAAAATTTGTGCCGCTGCAGTGCTTGCTTATAAAAACTGGAAGTAACCCAATGCAATCTGGCCATTATTCAGTGATCTGTCCTATTAGCAATCAGTGCTGTCTGACTCGGAACAGCATTGGCCAACAACTGTGTCAGCACTTTCTGCCTCGAAACAAAGTTAATCATCAATCAGGTTAGAGCTCTCTGCCTTGAAACAGCATTGGCTGACAGTTGTGCTGGCCAGACTTATTGGCAGATTCATGTTTTATTTGCAAGCACTGTTATGTAATCTGAACATTGCAATTTTTTTACTGCACCCTTTGATGTTTGGAGGTATAAGGAAGATTGGGATCAGTGATACATTCTTCTGCCCAAGTTGGGGCAGTGTTATGGGTTATTAAATTTCAGTTCTGCTATAAACCTGTTATTCGTCTCCTGTTCATTTGATGGTCACGGTTCTAAGTTCAGTAAATTGGTTGGAAACAGAGCTTCAGGACTCCCAGCCTGGATGTAACAGGTGTCATTCATTGTTCTGTTTGCTTTGAGGGAGAGGGGAACTGTGATTCTTTTTAAGATAACTTTGTTGAAGGTGCTGTGTTGTGTTTATATTCCTTTGATTTGAAATGCCATATTTTAAATTAAGCTCTTTTCATTCTGATTTTGTTTGTTATTATTATAATCCTAAACTGTTGCTTGATATTGGGATTTGTGTCTTCTTTAGGTAAGTTAGAGAGCAGTAGTAAAACTTCATTCTGATCACGTTCTTTTGGGATGTGACAAAATGTAGTTTGATTGATAGATGTCAGAGGAACCTAATGCCTCCATCTTCATATTATTATTAGTCACATTTTGAATTTCCTCTCTTGATTTATGAAGTTATGTTAATAGTTATGTTTGTTCAGATTACACAAATGGATCAGGTAATTGGGAAAGTGAATATGTCCATCTGCTAAACCACTGACATGTTCCCCTCCCCAACCAATCCATTGAAATCTAAGGACTAATTTTATATGTAAGCATTTATTTTACTCCTTCAGGGAGATCCTGACTGCTGGATCTTCATTCAGGGACTCAGCTGGCTACAGCCCTCTTTAGCAGTCTCACCTACATTTCTCGCAGAATTGGAAGAGAGTATTCCCCACGTACCACAGCATGCAAGTGGTAAAGCATGGGGTTGGTTGTACAGAAGGTGAGCTTCAATTAATTTTAACATTATAATAGTGTTGATATAACTTTTTAGACATAATTCTTGGGTCTTGTAATGTCACTGTTGACAGAAATCAGCTTTATAGTTCAATGCATTTTCCTTAAGAAAAGAGTATTGTGTCCTACAAAGAGCTGTCCTGTGTCACTATTCTGTTTTCCACCTGTGTCAGAAAAACTGATTGCTTCATAAAAGGGTCATTTTCCTACCATTCTTTCCCATTGACCGAGGTTGGAGTCCTTTCATTACCCCCACTCTTGGGTCAGGTAATCACCTTCCTTGCAGCCTCCTTGTATACTTAAGCCAGTTCCTGAACATACACACTTCAACCCATTCCTGAACCTATACACTTCAACCCTGAAATGTCAGAATCCATCTACAGGACAGCACAATATTACAATGCAGAAGACAATTTGAAAAGTCACTGCAATGAAAACCTCAAAACATGTACAATCTAATAACTTACAGCCCCTAGAAGAAATGACATTCAGTCCTTACTCACTCATGGAGCTGAGCCCTTCTGGAGGAGTCACCAATTCTGCAGCTACTCAAGAATTTCCCAGTATTTTATGGAACCCAAAGGTTCATTACTGTGTTCACAAGAGCCCTCCACTGGTCCCTATCCTGAGCCAGATCAATCCAGTTCATATCATCCCACTCTGTCTCTCTAAGATCCATTTTAATATTGTCCACCCACCTACGTCTTGGTCTTCCCAGTGGTCTCTTTCCATCTGGCTTCCCCACCAATATCCTATATGCATTCCTTGTCTCCCCCATTCGTGCTAATGCCCTGCCCATCTCATCCTCCTTGACTTGATCATTCTAATTATACTTGGAGAAGAGTACAAGTTATGAAGCTCCTCATTATGCAGTTTTCTCCAACCTCCTGTCACTTCATCTCTCTTCGGTCAAAATATTCTCCTGAAGACCCTGTTCTCAAATACCCTCAGTCTGTGTTCCTCCCTTAATGTCAGAGACCAAGTTTCACACCCATACAGAACCACAGGCAAAATTATAGTTTTGTATATTCTAATTTTTATGTTTTTGGACAGCAGACGAGAAGACAAAAGGTTCTGGACTGAATGGTAGCAAGCATTACCCGAGTTCAATCTCCTCTTAATTTCCTCCTGAATCAGGTTTCGATCTGTTCCCAAATGTCTGAACTCTGCCACATTTTCAAAGGATCTGTTAACTATTTTATATCATGATTTTGCCCTGCATTTTGGTGACGAGACATCAACAGAGACCAACAGCTGATGTGTCCCGTTTAACCCTTTCGCGCGGTCATTTAAATTCCACTGCCGTCTCTCCGGCGGTAATATATTCAGCCGGCCATTTAAATTTTGCTCAAAAATGATTTATTCATCATTGTTCTTAAATTATATGAGATAGGAACATGAAACTTTCACTAAAATGATCTTAAAAGATGGTTTTTATAACCTTACCTTATAATATGAGCGCCTGGTATCTCGGCAGTGGAAGCAGGTTGTTTAGAATTTGAGCAGTGAATGGTGCGCCTTGAAGCATGAAACTTTCACTAAAATGATCTTAAAAGATGGTTTTTATAACCTTACCTTATAATATGAGCGCCCGGTATCTCGGCAATGGAAGCAGGTGTTTAGAATTTGAGCAGTGTAAGGTAGGCCTTGAAGCATTCTTCTAACACAATGCTGCCCCACATTCACCACACCAATATTGTGTATCTTTTCTTTGGCTCTTTTTTTTAACCACACATCTTTTGTGCGGCCTTGCCTTCTTCCCCATGAGGGGTATACGTTCAAGGAAATGTCTTTCCGTGAGCCGTTTAGCTTGCCAGGTCAGCTGCAGTAAATTCAACGTTACGAGTTATCATAACAAGGGGTTGTTGCTATGCCTTTGATATCCCATTCATTTTGGCGGCAGCAGATGTAGGGGTGACCACAGAATTCACGAAGTTATTCTAAGAACTGGCTGGTATGTAGTGCATGAAAGCAGAGCTTAGCTGGCTCAAAAAAGATATTTATGGTCATCCCTCGAAACGACCACCAAGGTCATTACGATAAAATGGCGTCAACTGGAGCGATAATACATGAAGGAATGAGTTCTTTTCCCCCCCACACACACCAGTATCGTCATAGGGGGTGACCACAGTGTTCTGCCTTAATTCGTGACGTTTTTCTAAGAACTGGCTGCTATGTACTGTGCGAAATCAATCGATCTTGCAAGAATAAATTTTTGGACATCCCTCTTCTAAGAATTCCAATTGAGTGTGTTAGTGTGGCCAGCTCAGGGCAATATGATATTCATAGGAAAGAAAACACGCCATTCATAACAGTTTGAATGAGGAAACCTCTCCCAAGAGCAACAGGAATTTTGCTGCAAGACAGGCATATATAATGATGACTTAGCGCAGCTAAACTCATGTCTCATTATATATAGTTCTTGTGACAACAGGCCAGCGAAAAATCTAACAATCTACAGCAAAACCATCAATTATTATGGGCGTTATAACATAGGTGTGCAGCTGGACGAAACATAGATGTCGAACCCCCGCAGACGATTTAAATACCTGACGAAACATACACGTCAAACCACGCTGAACGGTTAATTTCAGTCCCACCTGGTTTCCCTGGACGTTCCTAATTGGATACGAGTATTCTAAAGCAAAGTTGAAAAGGAGTTGTGATAAAGTATCTCCTTCTATTAGACCATTCTGGATAGGGAAATTTTCAGACAACTCTTTACTAGACCTTTCATTTAAGCACATTTTAATGAGCCTGACTGGATTCATGGGTATTTCAGACTCTATCAGAATATTGTACAGTACTTCCCTCCTAACTGCATCATAGGCTTTCTAGAAGAATGAAAGAATGACATTCAGTAGTATTGTAAAAACTTTAATCTGCTTGGACAGAGTTTGGATAATGACTGGCAGCAGTGGTCTTCTGCAGAGTAGTTCCCTCTCACAAATTTATTTCAGTACCATCATAATTTCCGGTTGTCCAAAGAACTTGCAGAAGTCTGTCTCTTGCAGGTTGTTTAGAATGGCCATTTTAACCTTCTTAATGTCTTTCATCGTTTAAAAACATGATCCATTGAGATGATTCTTCATGGAAGGGTAGTGGAAGAAGTCACTTGGAGCAAGATTTTTGTGCCTCAGTTCTACATTTTAGGTCTCCTCTGGTCCTTTGATATACCTACATAAATAAATGAAATTATTATCTAATCAGAGAAAAACACAATTGCGAAAAGGCTACCACCTGTTGATAATAAAACCAAATACTAACACCTGCAGATCTAGTCTTAAAGTGTTGTTGAAATTTACTAACTATTGTAAAGGGGCAGATAATCACCACTGGTGCTTCACATTGGTTACTGTGTTTGGTTAAATTATAGTCTCATACACCTTTATTTCCATAGATCCATACAAAGTATAAGAATGTAGAAGTTGTCTTAACCAATAGAAAAAAAAACTTACAAAAATGCATAGAGTCAAGTAACACTACACAATATCATTACATTTATGGGCACAAAAACAATACTAAAAACCTAATATTAAAAACTATATATGATTAATCACTTATTACAAAGGAATGATGTCTTTATTTTTATCATATTCAAAATCAAAATATTCTTCCAATGTATAAAATGAATGGCAACACAAAAAATTCTTCAAAGTTGATTTAAAACCTTTACCGTTATTGTATAATTGCTTTGAGTATATCTGATATAAATTGGTATGAATCCATATTATCAACCACAAAACACAACAAAGAATAAATATAGTGTGATTGAAGAGGGAGAATTCTTAATGTTTTAAGTAACTGTCTACAAGAGTTTCTATTACTACTACCTGCTGTTATTCTAAGTGCCCTCTTCTGCACACGAGAAATATTAATAGCATATAAAGAAGTTCCCCAGAAAATAATACCATAATGCATAATAGAATGGAAATAAACATAATAGACCATCAACAATGTTTCCTGATTCACATATGGCTTAACAGTTCTAATCGCATAACAGGCAGTATTAAGTTTCAGGGGAAGTTGATCAACATCTCTTCCATGATAGTGTGTGTACAATATTAATTTCTAAAAACTGAATATAACATGACTCAGAAATTCTCTTGTTGCCATATGCAATATTAATATAATTGTCCTGTTCATAGGAATTTTTTGTTGTGAATTTAATATAATCTGTTTTGGAAAAGAGATAATAAATTGGCATTATATTTAAAATTGTAAAAACTTCAGTTAATCTGTTTTGGAAACCCAAGGGATCAAGTTCACTAATAATTACACTAGTGTCATCAGCATAAAGAATAAGGGTAGAAATCTTAGTACTAGAGGAAGATCATTAATATAAATCAAAACGAGCAAAGGTCCCAAAATGGAACCTTGGGGGGACTCCATGTGAAATTTCACCTCAATTTGAATATGTGTTTAAATTATATTTGGATTGTAATCTTATTCTTTGAAATTTTCGTTCCAAATATGATGTTATTAATTTGTGCATTAAGCCCGAAATACCATAAAACTCTAATTTAGATAACAAAATCTTATGGTTAACACAATCAAAAGCTTCTTCTAGATCACAGAATTTTCCTCCCACATTATGTCCATCATTCAGAGCCACTGATATTCGGTCAAGTAATCTATAAGTGGCTTTGTTGGTTGAAGAGTTTGCTCTAAATCCAAATTGTTCATTTACCAAAATATTGCTATTGACCAAGTGTTTACAAAGTCTCCTATATATCACTTTCTCAAATACTTTTGAGAAAGAAGTTAACAAAAATATGAGTCTGTAATTACTAATAAGATTCTTATCACCTTTTTTATATATGGGTTTTATTTCAGAAAATTTAAGTCGATCTGGAAATATACCAGTTGCTAATGACCTATTTATTATATAGGTTAAAGGTGAAATAATGTAATGTACACCATTTTTTTTTATTTTTGATGGGGATCTCGTCATATCCATAAGAACTGGTAATTTTCAATTTATTA